CATACATACATTCACAACCCATTACATCAGTAGTTCTCAACCTGTGTCCCAGTCAGCACGTAGCTGTGGCCCATGTGACACCCTCAGGGCCATACAGGTAGTATATATATTGTGTGGATGCTGACCACATAACACAATAGAGAGCTGCATATGCAGTCCACAATGGTAAATAGGTGGAAAACCACTGCATTATGCCATTGCTGAAGGGACAGCGGAAGACACTGCAATAGGCCATGCCATACTACAGGCTGCATTCCTTCTTGCATCCTTGCACCCACCTCCATGCTGAGTACTCCTTGCCCATGTTCGGAATACATATAGGAACCATTGCTCTAAGAAGAAGAGGAGATTACTTACCTGTAACGGAAGTTCTTCAAGATGTGGGGTCCCAATTTGTATTCCAATACCCACCCTCTGTTCCTGTCTGCTTGGTGGTAAATGGGTGACTGAAAAGGCGTTGACTTGCACAGCCTAATATAATCTCACCAGAGACATGAGGCGATGAATGATGTATGCATGGGTCAGTGGCCATTGCTACGAAAATCTTCCGTGTCTGGCACATGGTGCCTACGTGCACTCACATTTGGAATAAAAATAGGGACCACACATCTCGAAGACCCTCCAGTTACAGATAAATAACCCCATCTTCCAAGTAGATCTTACAGCAGGGAGGGGCTCTTCCCAAACCAGTTGTTTATGCAAAACTATTTTCAAGTACCCATCTATGGTCCAGTCAGGAAAAGACAATGGTGTACCGTTAGGGTTATTGGGAAAACGTTGAAACAATTTGTATCTAAAAAGAAACCACTAGTCTTGAAAAACTAGGAGAGGAGGGAATTTCTTCCATGCTGAATCGCCATAGTCTGAGAGAAAGGGGAAAAAAACTGCAGACCCTTGAAAGAGAAGAGGTTTGAAGTGAAGAACATAGAGAGAAAGAGAGGGCCAACATTTACATAGGGTGCTATCTGTGAAACACTGTATCCCTTTTATGAGAGGGGTCCATTGGGAAACTGTTCAGAGGCAATAGATAACCTATTTTAAAAAAGGGAATTTAGCGAATATCGAAGTGTAAACCCTGATGTTGCATCTGTTTTTGTTTTCTGTGTAACTTGTATGCATTTGTTTTTCATTACTATTTCATCTTTGAATACAATTTTTCTGTTAAATAGAACTTTGGTTTATTTTTACTCCCAAGTAGCCCTTTGTTGTGCAAACAGTATGGATTATATGTGCCAAAGTGAACTGATAACTGGGGGCAGGTTTCACTCCTTCAGGGATGACAAACCAGAGAGGAAAAGTCAGAGTGCTGGTAGTTTAAAAACTTGGAGTAGACGGGTTTGGGAAGACTCAGACAGGAAGGGCTGTTGAGGTCATCCTGCAAGGCGTAACTGGGCTGGTGAAAGCCAGGGTCAGACCTTTATGCTTGTAGGTTTGTTACTGGTGTCAGGGCTTTGAGTCATAGTAGTGTAGCATTAAGTCATCCAAGATTATAGGGCTATAAGTGACAGAACCCCTTACTGGTTTCCCTGATCCCCCAAAATGTCACACTGGTACACCAGAAACTTGCTGAAATATGCTTATGGGACTGGGAGGCAATTCAACTGGAAGTTGACTATAATCTAAGATAGCATACAGAGTTTCCATGGGAATGGAAAAGTGAACCACGAACACCGCCAACCCCCCCAGCCCTTTGGTATCGCTGTGGTCTCTGGCCCTTGTGTCCAGCTAACAGCAGTGGAAAGAATAAGACCCAGCACAGCTTTATTTCATTCCCTGAAGTTTCAGGTCAGAACTATGAGCCCCACACCTCTCCGCAGCAAAGCAACACTGCACTTGTAATTATGCAACCGATGGATTAGATCTCTTCCCCACCCCTGTTTCTCCTAGTTTGTGCAGCATGGCTCAGTGTGAGGAGAGATCAGACACCAAGGACAAGGAAGGTAAAAATTTTTATAATCTTCCAAGGAAGAGAGGACTGCTGTGATGTTCTTTGGACATGCGAAGGGTTTCCTTTCCCTTCCTGAACCTCCCTCTCAACCACTCCTTCCACTTCTGTGCAGCTCCCTTTTGTAAGGAGACATTAAGACCAGTGAGAGAGGGGAGGAGCACATACACTGTGTAGTCTTCCAATGAAGAAGAGAGAACTGTTAATTTCTACAACCAACTATACATTTTCTACAAGTATGCTGTACCCAACAAGGACTTTTCTAAACCCACTTCCTCCCTTCCCTTGGCATGCATGGCCCCCCAAATTTTTGTTGCCTATGTACTGGCCAGGAAATGTACAGATACAGATGAAATGATTGTTCCATAAATTGTATAGCTTCTGCCAAATGTGTAATAGTGGGAACTCAATTTTATTGATATATAGCATTGTCTTACTCCGAGACCATTAAGGGTTGAGTGGAGTGAGGGCTGGGCTTAAAATCAGGAGTGTGGCATTGTAGCAAGAGGGGATATTGGTGAGTGGGAGGCACTCCATTGTAACTTACCAGCTTTGGGTTCTAGCTCCTGCTGCAGCTTGGGGTCCTCCTGAGGTTTGTCCAGGTGTTGGGAGGGGCTTGCTCTACTAGCTCCTTCGAGTACAGGTATAAAATGACATGGTCTTTTTCTGGAGCTTCTTTCTCGGACCCTTCTGCTTCCTCACCCTAGCCCTTACCGGCTTCCTTTCAGATAGTAAAACCAGCAGGATTAAGGAAGGGATTGTGAGACACTTCTGTCTCTGTACTGGGAGCCCTTGAAAGCACCTGGTTCAGCACATGATAGTATGGGCACGTATGAGGATCTCTCTTGGAGTGACTGAGTCTTTTGTCCTCCAGTATAGAAGCCTCAGGTGCTTCATGTGTTTTTGTCAGTAGGTGGAATCTGGTAGGTGCCTACCTGCTCCACTCTCCATGAAATTTACCAGTACAGATAAATGTTCCTGCTACTCTGGATGAAGTTGTGGAGGGCAATGTATTCCGACCATACACAGTTCAGGACCTGGCTGTGTGTGAAGGACCAGGCGACTAGTCTCGGAACAGGATGCATGCTTATCTGTAGTGAGCTAAAGAGTAAAAGACCTTTCTGAAGTGGTCTGCAGTTCTCTACTGCTGGTGACAATGGGCAGACAGGGACTTTTATAGATTGGGTAAGGGGCCAGGCAGGAAAGGGTTCCCTGCATTGTGTGAGTGTGGGTGGAGGACTGTTGGAACTCGGGATCTGCTACATGCCTCTTTCTCCCACACTAGCACAGGTACAGGACTGCCACAGCTGAGGCATGTATTTACCCATCAGGTGTACTAGCTTACTGCCCTCCACTCACCTTACTCCCTTCTACTCACATGCTCCTGGGGTTGAGATTTGGCAGTAAGGGGATTATGGCACAACCAGGTGTATGGACAAGTGTACAGTCACTAGTGTAGATGTAGCCTAATTATTCTATGCTCTGTTCTTTTTGTAAAAGGTTGACGTATTATACGGCTATATTCCAAGCCCGGAAAATGTAAATATTATTTTAATTTTATATTCAACTGCAATTGCCATCCATTGCTTTCAGGTTCGTCTGTTTCAGTAATACATAGATGCAAGTACATTTTACCTCATAGCACTCAGGGATAAATGAGGAATATGGACGATATTAACTGAATACAGTAAAAGCTTTGTTATCTGGCACGTTGGGGCAATGGGGGGTCCTAAGTAAAAAATACCAGTTAATTAATAGGGATGGAATTTGGGTTTGGGAGGGGGCTCGGGACAGGTGGTTGGGGTGTGGGAGGGGGTGTGGGGTACCGGATCTGGGTGGCGCTCGCCTCAGGCAGGTCCCTGCAAGCGGCGACACGTCCCTGCTGCTCCTAGTTGGAGGTGTGGCTAGGCAGCTCTGCTTGCTTCCTCCATCTGCAGGTGCTGCCCCTGGTTCTTGGTTCCTGGCCAATGGGAGCTGCGGAGCCAGTGCTCAGGACTGGGGCAGCGCACCTCCGTCTAGGAATAGTAGGGACATGTTGCTGCTTGCAGGGAGCTGTCCAAGGTGAGCACCACCTGGATATGGCATCCTGAAACCCCTCCTGCACACCAACCCCCTGTCCTGAGCCCCGTCCTGCACCCAAACTCCCTCCCAGAGTGTACGCCCCGCACCCGCTCCCACACTCTGAACCCCTCGGGGCCGTTCCTCCACCTAGGAGCAGCAGGGACATGTTGCCGCTTCTGGGGAACTACGCGGAGCCGGATAGGGAGCCTACCGGCCCCACGCCAACCGGACTATAAACTGGGCTTTCAATGAAGATCAGAAATGCCGGTGTATAGAAGTTTCTGGTTGGTAAAGTGTCAGATAACACAGCTTTTACTGTAGTTTCTTTTACTGTCTATTTACATGCACTTAGAGTAATCAGCATATTTCTGTTGTTTTAGTAATCATACATAAAATATTGTTACCTTTTACTTTAATAAGAGTAAAATGTTTAGTATGTTTTGAAAGTGAAATATAACTATTTTTTTCCTGCTACTGGAAAGCAAAACTACTCTGATGAACAGTAGTTTTATTAAAATAAAACAGAGATTTTGACAAATCTGGTAATTGCCTCCAAACAAATTGAATCTTATCCTTAATTTTTTACAATATACCCGCTACTTTACTTTTTAGAGCTTTACATAAATATGGTAGTATGTTCACATAAAGCATAGCGTATGCCATTAATATAAATGTAAGTAGTAATAGACTTCTGATTTTTTAATTCATGTTAATTGTAATATACAATTTTATTAATTGCTAAGTGAATTTTGTTTTTGTTAGATTATATGGAATTTATTCAAGAGGAAAAGTCGTTCAGACATTGTTTCCATAGATTTCTAATGGCTGGAATAATAAACAGCTTGAGTTTCAACCATTCGTCTATAAATCTGCTCATGAAGAAAACACAGCTAGAACTGAGTTGGAGTTTAGTTTTTATTTTTCATTTTGGGGGTTGAGGAAATATCCCTACTTATTCACAGATGTTAAAATTGATCTTTGCCCTTATTTCCAGGTTACAAGCAATATTTACAAAATTTGATGAAGTGAGAGACTCTGGAAATATGATTTTAAGTAACATCAGTGGTAAGTATGCAACTATATATTGTTATTCAAAGTCGGAGGTTAATGAAACTCACAGCTAACCCGCATTAAGCACTGTAATCTGTTTTGTGGAACTACTAGCATTACAAAAGTGAAGTTCACGTTAATCTGTTGTAGAAATACACATTTAAGCCACAATCTGAATGTTCCACATTAGTGTAATTCTAACAAATGCTTACTCTCTCATATACTGATGGTCTTTTCTTGAAGTCATTGTTAACATCCTTTTCTGCACAGCACTCTTGTACCCCACTATGTGAATGACTAAAATATCTTGCAGTGATTGCTATAATTTCATTACTTACATCTCTGCACCATGTAAGTGTGAAATTTTGCAGCACCACTGAAGCAATTAGGTCCTCAAAATATGTTCAGAATAGTTACTTTTGTGCTCAGTAAGGGGTAATGAGGAGGTTTCAGAAAAGCTATCTAAATAAGTGTGTGTGATTCCTTATTAGATTTTCATACATTACATATATTTAAGTTAGAACATGTCTCTCGCCAGGAATTAAACGTAAATATATTGACAGTTTTTTTTTTTACTTAAAAAAAAAAAAAAATTGAGTGTCTATAAACAATTGAAAGAGCATTTTGAAACTGTTGTAGCTATTAGAAAACTTGATGTGGGTTGAAGTAAGGACTCTGATCTTACTCAAGTTCACTATACTAGCCAATTTACTTCACTAGATTTTTTTTTAACTGTTGTTAGTTTTGATGCCGTTCACTGAAGCAAACAGTTGTGCATTGAATTCCTGTTGTAAATTCCCCATTGTGGTTCTAGTATAGTATTTGGTTGTAGTGAAAGAGCAGAAACATCACTCATTATTTTAATTAATAAATTACTTTGAGCTTTGTGTTTTAAGTGAAAGCCAATTATAAAAATTAATACTGTAACTAAAAAGGTGCTGTGTCAGTGACTTCAATAAGACTGCTTTTTGTAGCTTTCATCATTTTTCTTGTCTCAGATGTAAGAAAATCCAGATTTACATTTATAGGACTTTTCTGATTGTTGTTTTTTGAGACAAATCTAGATTGCCTTAAAAGTGCATTCTATTATAATTTTAAAAAGTAGAGAAATTAGAGTTAATGTCACCCTGTTTTATTACATATAAATGCATTTTCCAAAAATTAGTATTGTGATACAGCAGGGCCAGGGAGCATGGGAGAGTGGTTGAGGGGAGATATACAAGCCCTAGGCTAATTAAGGTGTGGTTCCCTATAGACTAGGAAAGGTTACTACAGATTAATTGGAGCACCTGTAGTCAATTAAGGCCCTGTCAGGAACCTAATAAAACCCCCCTGCTTCAGGCAGTCAGGGTGATACAAGGAAGGAGAGAGGACTGGAGTTTGTAGGTGTGTTGCTGAGATTTGAAAGACCAGAGAACTGGAGGAAGGTAGACCTTGCCCCAGCAGGGCAGGGAGACTACCTCCAACACAGTCAAGGACCAAAGACAACCCTACCCAAGGGGAAAGAGGGTAAGAAACCCATAGGGGTTGAGAGGGGCTGGGGCTCAGAGTGAGGAGCAAGCCCAACCCCCTTCCCCACTTCCCTCCTCTACTACCTTCCCGGGCCACTAGCGGGGCCCTCAGTGCCTGAAGACCAGGGCAAGGGGTGGTGTCCTAGCCCCCCGCCAAGAAAAGCACGGGACCCACCATACCAATCCTACGAACCAAGTTTCTTTGTACTCTAAACAGTAAAATTTGGTGGACGCTGTACTAGACAAAAGGCTAGAGTGGCCACATTTTGGGAGGGCACTAGGATGTCTGGGATATGGGTGGTTGGACTTGGGCCTGTATAATGCAGTGTAGAAGCTGGAGATGCAGATTGAGAAATGCATGTAGATGTTGAAGCCTCAGGTTAACAAACCCATGGTCTGCTAATTTGAGTTCTATTAACCCTGGGTTTACATTGCAGTGTATACATAACCTTAGGGCAGTGGTTCTCAATCTGTGGCCCATGGGTGGCTTGCAGTCCAGTCAGGACACAGCTGCGTCCATGTGACATCCTCAGGGCCATATAGGTAATATTGGATGTGGCCCGCAATGATAAATAGGTTGAGAACCACTGCCTTAGGGTATGTCTGCGCAGCAGTATGCACCTGTCCTGACTCGTGTGCATGTGGGCGTACGTTAGCCAAGCCCACTTCTGAGATTACATGTTACAAAGTGAGTGGGTGAGGAAGGTGCATATCATAGCTCAACACGTGCTCTTCCCCATACACCCACCCGAGCACACCAGCTCAGGTTCAGCTTACCTCTTACAGGGATTTGAGTGTGGATTGGGAGTGGGGGTGTAGGAGACATTGGGCATGCAACGCAACCCACTGCAAGCATGCATTGTAGATGTACCATGATACTGCACTCGTTATTGAACTCTAGTATTCTGAGCTTTGCCTCAGTCTTTTTATCTGACTTTAAGCAGGCTGCTTAACATCTCTGAACCTTGGTTATCTTATCTGTAAAACACAGGTGTTCTTCGAGTGCTTGTTCATGTCCATTCCAATTAGGTGTGCGCATGCTGCGTTTCCCCCCTAGCAGTATGTTGGGTTGGCTCAGGCACCTTCTGGGGTCACACCTGTAGGGCGCTGGATATAGGGCCCTGCTGACCCACCACCCTCTCAGTTCCTTTTTACCATCTGTGATGGTTAGTCAGAATGCTCGCTCTTGCTTTGGCAAGCTTGTCTCTAGCAGTTGAAGTTTCATTCTTTTATATAGTTAGTTAGTAGTTTTACATACAAGTTTCATTTGGGGATTTCCCTCCACTTTCTTCTCAGTAACGGGGCATGCCTCAGTCTCCGGGTTTTAAACCCTGCGAAGCTTCTGGCCAGCTTATGTCCAAGAGCAACCCCCATTCTTCTTCTTTAAAGTGTTTGGGGGAAGCTCATCAAAAAGAATGCTGCAAAATTTGCAGAAGTTTCTGTCCAAGGACACAGAAAGGGAGAGATCAGCATCTCAAGTTAATACTCATGGAGGCAGCTCTCCATCTGAGTTGATGGAGCCAACCCCACACCGATGATGAGATGCTCGGAGTGCACTGGCACCGCCGGCGCACGAATTGGCGTCGAGGAAGACTTGAGTAGAGACCCTTGGCACCGACAGGACAGGGCCGGCACCGCTCACATTCACCAGTGACTCATAAGAAAGAGACTTGAAAGGGGTTGCTCCCCTATGCCTAGAGGGGCGCAGAAGGAGCCCGCTGCCGTGAGACCCACATTGGGCCGCGCGACTTCGATCTTGGCTTCAGGGGTCATGTTGACTCCTGCCCCTACATGGGACTGGTCGAGTCCAGACCCCCATCTTTCACCAGTCAGTGAGGGCCAGGACCTTGGGATGCCATCCATCCTGGAGGCATTCGAGATGGCGAAAGACCTTATCGCCTTCACGGTGCTGCCCCCTGTCCAAGTCAGGACAGGACATGAGACCCCGGTGCCGTCCAGGGGCAAACCCACAATGATTCTGCGCCTTTGCCATCCCCTCGACCCCAGTCTCCAGTGCCATCGATGAGCGCGCACATGGGGGAGCCTTGCTGGTCCCCTAGCCCTGGATGACGCTCTCCGGAATCAAGTGGCACCGCTCCTTCCTGGTCCTCCTATACAGAGTCCTCGGAATTGAAGCGGAGTCGTTCCAAATCCAGGGGGAGCAGGAGCTCCAGTTCGGACAGGCGGAGACACCTTCAGCCAGCACCTGGCCGTCAGCGGCAGTTCCCTGCTCAGTGGCCTTTTCAGACCCCTTGGGCTTTCCACCAGAACCTATGGTCCTACTTGAGGTCAGCTTCCATGGCGTCGGCTACCTTTGCTGCTCCACTATCCCAGCATGACCAGGGTATTACCGCACCTGGCACCGAAGCACTCGATGACACTTACTCCGATACCAGTGTCCACATTGACAGCACCGGCACTGACTGCGCCGGCTCTGGCACCAGGGGCTGCGCCAGAACACCAAGCCCCCTGAGATCCCCTCGGTGCCAAGGGCAGGGAACAGGACCAGCTTGTAGCTAGGGCCTTGTCCTCTTCTTCGCCCGATAAGGTGATTGGCAGGCCCCTTCCCTGGAGGATAGCAGAGTGCTCCAACAACAACTCAGGAGGCTGGCACAGAACATTGGCAATCCAGGCTGAGGAGGTGGATGCAGCATCGGACCCTATGGTCCACATCTTGGCCCCTTTAGGCCCTTCCCGAGGTGCTCTGCCACTTATTAAAACAATTAGTGACACCACTAAAACTCTCTGGCAGACCCCTGCCTCTTTGCCGCCAACACAAAGAGAAATGAGCGGAAGTAGTTTGTTCCCTCTAGAGCAGTGGTCACCAACCCGTCAATCGCGATCAACTGGTCGATTTTGGGAAGTCTCCCAGTTGATCGTGATGTCCGGCCACGGCAGTGCAGCGGGACTGCCTCTAAGGCAGGCTCCCTGCCTGCAGTGGCCCTACGCCGCTCCCGGAAGCAGCCAGCACGCCCCATGGCAAGGGTCTCCATGCATTGCTCCTGTGTGCAAGTACCAACTCCGCAGCACCTGTTGGCCAGGAATCTGGAACTGTGGCCAATGGGAGCTTTGGGGGCGGTGCCTGCAGACAGGGGCAGTGCGGAGAGCCACGTGTCCCCCTCTCTCCCCGCCGCAGGGGTGTGTTGGCCCCTTCCAGGAGCAGTGTGAGGTCGAGGCAGGCAGGGAGCCTGCCTTAGCCTTGTTGCGCTGCCAACCGGGAGCTGCCTGAGGTAAGTGCTGCCTGGTGGGAGGTCACACCCCAGCTCTGAGCCCCCTCCCAGAGCCAGCACCCCTTACTTCCTCCTGCACCCTGACCTTGCTGCCCCAGCCTTGACCCCATACCCCCTCCTGTACCTCTGCCCCAGCCCTGACCCCGCTCCCAGAGCCAGCACCCCCTCATACACCCCAACACTCTGCCCCAGCCCAGAGCCCCCTGCTGCACCCAAACACCCTCCCAGAGTTTACTCCCCATACCCCCTTCTACACCCCAACCCCCTGCCCCAG